CCTATTATGCAATGGACTTCGGCCAGGGGTTGAAACAAGTGGTATTCCACATTTAATACATGGTGTTATTCTTTCACCTTTCCAATGACTACATTCCTCAGGTATTGTATAAGTGTTTTCACAAATTTTCATCGGGATTATGAGGGAATAGACAAGTACATTCACCAGACATTTTTCATTATATATTAAAATATAAATCGTTAGATAATCAAATATAATACACATTTAAAATGATGACATATTCGCAATCAGGTCGTCAAACATGACCCGATAACATATATATAGCATAACTGGATATAAGATTTACGCGATTATTTTTTCTGTCGTCGAAACGGTCATGACTATTAAATCAGTATACATTATGTCGCATATGGGTGATGTATTTTAATACATCATAAAAAAACACCACCGTGTACTTAAAAAAGTTTTATATTCACCTAAGGCTCATTCTCACAGTAATAGAAAGCTAATTAGTGATCAAATATGATAACTATGCTCCGCCTGATAACACACTGCACTTCGTTTGTTCATGATCGGAATGGATTTCGGAGACTCGAACTAGACAAGAAAGCAATATGCTAACTAGATGCTCCGCTTTGCTTCGCATTTTCGGGTGCTTTGCACCCTCATACAGTTAGCAATAATGGATTTCGGAGACATAAACCAGACAAGAAAGTTAAATGCTATACAAAAAAAAATACACTAAACGAAAAAAAATCGTCATTGATTTTAACGATAGAATGCTAATTAGCAATCTAATTAGATAACTATGCTCCGCTACGCTCCGCATCTGTATCGCACACCCCTAAGGTGTATGCTCTACAGTGACAGAAAGCCAAATAGTAATCAAATCAGATATCAAAATAACACTAAAGATTTCGCATAGAAAAATACACCATTCATATGTGATATATAAGTTTACCAAAAATGCAGTAAAATCTCGGAAAAACTTAGAGAATGAATAAAGTTTTCAAAAATTACACGGAATTGTACCTAAAAATCTCACTATTCTATTACTACATGTCTGTATGTCAGTAATGCTATTTATATTCATTTCACTTTTCCGTGTTGAAGCTTTTAGTCTTTTTTGAGCATTTAATAGTAAATGTAAAGGTGTTTGGATATGTACAGTATATAGGTGTTGTACCTCAGTTGGGGACCTGTCTCAGTTCTGGACTGAGTGTCTGGGTTCTGAACTGAGACAACTGAGTTCTGGATTGAGTGACTGGGTTCTGAACTGAGACAGGTCCTGAACTCAGACACATAGGCAAGCCTGATCAAAGACTTGCAGAAAGTGCCACAAAAATATGATAGCTAAAATTCATCCTACAAAATTTTGTACTTAGTTTTCCTTCTATCCTTCAGCTTCTTCTATGATTGCTGTTGATGGTAATGGTTGATGAAACTTTTGTGTAACATTGGGAACACTGAGATAACCATATTTGTATTTTTAGTCGGGGAGCTGATGTTATGGGAATTAAAAGAAATATCGGTTTATTATTTACGAGTTTAATTATTGTAAATACGTTGAATACAGCCCTGCAAATTCATTGATGCAAGGTTGTTCCTGATGGAAAAAGACAAATAATGTAGAGACATTTATTTTCCCATGGTATATAATGCACTATTAATCATAATGATGTTGGGATACTGTATCTCGCGTCAATTCCATACAAAGTTTTGGATGCTCTAGTCCCAAAATAATAAAGCCTGCTTTGCTTTAATTCATGTACTCGGTACCATCACTTTCACTTTATCTCACAAGACCAAACAGCTTCTCTCTCCGTGCTGTACAATTCCCACACATGGGTATACGCGGTTTCAAAAATCTGATCAAACAATGTTATTGAACAAGAGTCGAAATAACGTTATCCGACTGATTACACCGCTTAAACAATTGCAAGCTTAAAACATTATTTTTATTAATTTACACACATTAACCGCATTTTTCACAAACTTCAATATGTGCTGGCTTGCTAGCTATAATAATTCATAAAAGCTTCCACATGCTAAAGTTAAAAGTCGAGGGGGTGAGTTTAAAAATTGTTCCCACTTCGCACACCGCATGTGACCGTTATCTCTCACACTGCAATCTTCCTGTCATACAACCCGGGCGAGTTTACTAGGAAAAAAGTCTCTTAACGGGAAACGAGATTATGCAAAAACTCGGCTTGTGAGACATAACAACGGAGTTGCTATCGTATTGGGCAAAAAAAACGCTGCCCCTATACTATCATGATGTCAGACCGATGTGAATCGAGAGGTGGGGAAGCCGTGAGAGGAGATCGTGGATTGTGGTTAGAAAGGGAGAATGGTTGGGGGGGATTTTATATATGATAATGTGATTATTTAGAAAAAATCGTGTGAAGAAAGTATGTATGGATGGGAAATTCGAAAACCGATATTCCCACAGAGTCAAAAATCAAGTCTTTTTTAGCATTCAGACATGAAGAGAAAACCCGAGTTAAGATTTTATGGACAGGAGAGGGGGGGGGGGAATAAGAAGGGGAGGGGGGAGGGGGGAGGGGGGTAACATCACATAACCAGTGTTTTCTTGAACGCTTTTGGTAATGGAGCCGAGTAATCTCGCAGATATTTTTTCATCCAGTAATAGTGTGTTCGATCACCACATAGAGATGGCGGGGGGTGGGTTTACCCTGTCATTTAGTGAGATATTTATAAAGTTGGGCGGATCAACAAAATATAAAGAGACTAAAAAAGATGATATTCATAATAGGAAGCTTATATAGACAATTACGTCACCGAAAGTGACAGTTGTTATATTGTCTCTTCATCAAATGTCAAAATCAGCCACAGAAACTGAGATGATATATGGTCTTTGACAACGTTAACCCTTCTTGTTCAACAAATATAAACAATCGAAACAACAATTATATCAATCACATGGATATTACGCTAATATTGAGAAAGGACACCATATTTAGACATGGTAACCCGTTGGAGAGATCTAATATAACTAATAGGAAAGATGAAGACACAAAAGGCATATGCCATCGATTGACATTATTTGCCAAAACAATAATGCAGCACAATGGATATAACCTACATGAGCCGAGAAACATCAAATTAATACAATCACATGCAAATCTCTTTATTAATCAAAGAAGTGTGGCAGCGCACTACGCTGTTCAGTGATCTCTTTCGTCTGTTTTTATATCAGACTAGACTGAATTTGCCATTCTTTCTATCCAGTGGCTTTGCCCATAATGGCGTCATTGCCAGATGCGGATTGCGGTATCAGTTGGGGGTGAAAATAATTGGTGGCGTTTTATGACATCGTTCGGGTTAACAGACGCTATGTTCGTAGATGATCAACATGCATGTATATATGCTATTGAATACTTTAAAGTAATAAAATAATGTTGAGTAAAACGTGGATAAATTAACTTTTTTCCCTCTTTTTTCGGCTTTAGAATTTCCTCAAGACAACAAAAACCGGTTTGATCTGTATGTGTGACATGAGTTTGATAAACGTCTCTGATCGATATTTGATTAGAGTAGTTTTGATAGAGTATAGGGAAGGGGAAATGGAAAGGGGCGGAAAAAAAAAAAGACATTTTACGTCATAAGAGTTGATTCCCTGTGCGTTTGTTTACTGTGCTTATCTTCAATTGAAGTGACCCTTATTGAAGTTAGCACATGGACGTTTTGACATGGCATTGACAATGGAAGCGATTGTGAGATTGTGTGGGTATTGATGTGCAGAAAATATTATACGTTATCCAATATAAATACTATTATTATATGAACTAGGAAGGTAAGAAAAAAAAAAAAGGGATAGGGATAACGATAAACGAGAAATAAATAATCCGACTTACAATAGAGATAACGATGATCGATCGAAACAGTTTCTCCTATTACACTTTTTTATCAGTATTTGTAAAAGAGACTGTAACATGACATGTACGTACCAATCATAGTAATCGAGTATCACACACACTCTTTTTCGCTATCAAAATTTTCTTTTCCCAATCATGAATCATGTGACCAAATAAAATCTTTACGGCATGATTATCAAGTGCGTTTTGTTAAGAGAGACTCTTATACAAAAATTAGTTCTTAATTGGTTATTGCATGCTATGTTATTACCATGTTAAACTCTGCATACTCAGCCCAGCCAAACAAAGAGTGCAAAAAGCATAGCATATAATACAAACATTTGTAAATGTCATGGATAAATATGTTAAATACGTTTTGAATTGGTTTTTTTTTACGTATCACATAATTACCATTATTAGTTGTTAAATATCACATAAGTACGTTACAGTAAATATTTATATTATATGTGTACCGGAATACTCGATAGATATGCTTTTTTGCCATATACCCGTCATATCTATCGTCATATCTATCCGTCACATCTATCCGTCGCCCCATCTTGTGTGGTTGTGTCATCTCTCTATCTTTTTGCTCTCATTCTTTTTTTATTCCTATCTTTATCCAACAACTATGGATATTTATATGCGCACAGATATACATAGAGTACGATATATATGATATATATGCGTTCTATTTATTTGTTTATTTATTTGTAACATGCGTAGTAATATATTATTGATAACCTATTGTAAATACTTGCTATATTTATAGACGAGTACTTTATTCTCGCTTTTTTAACTCTCAATTGTCACTGCATTCACATTTCCACGCGCAACCGAACTAGAATGTGATAAATAACTGCAAATATTTCCATTATATAATACATGGCCGTCAACAACAACATCCCATCATCGTTTACTCGGATAAGATAGCAAGTTTTTTATTAACATCATCAGGACTATACACAGCACAACACAACACAACACAACACAACACAACACAACACAACACAACACAACAGCACTATATCACTACATCACTACATCACTACATCACTACAACTACGACTATAACTACGCTACACTACAACTACACAACCCCAACTATTTTAAAAAAACTATTTTCGTCAAAGTCACCCTCTTATAATATCATAATCAACTATGTTTAACACTACGACAACTGCCTTCTATCACCCAACCGGTCAAACCACAAAGAGTTACCTCAGCAGCTTTAGCACATCAATATCTTCTTCACTGCTGCACTCCTCTCTCGTCCTACTTCCGCTAAGTAAAATATTTGGGAGTAACTCTACCAGTGTGACAAAACCCTCTAACAACGCTAGCGACTCTATCAACAACCCTGAAATACCTCCACAGCAGCAGCAGCAGCAGCAGCCAGCGGAAGAACAAACTGCCACAGAACCTATAATACCCTCCACCCAATCTTCCCCATCTCAACCTCAAAAGCGCTCTTCTCGTCGCACTCAACGTCACTCTTCCCCCTCTTCGCTGTCTATTTCTGCCGCTATCTCTTCAAGCATGGGTAATATTCTTCCCTCTGCATCGAATAACGTCATTACACCATCAACAGCCTTGAATCAATACTCCCATGCAATGAGAAAGAAGAAGCCGGCAAACAAATTGAGCAGGCACAGGATCGATTCAGCAATTACCCTGTCTGCTATCGCTGTCGAAGAGGACAGTCAGGGGAATTATAAATGTGCTACCGACTTGTATCTGAGTGCTTTGGAAAATATGCTGTATGCTCTACCAGGTAAAAACTATATAATGTGGTGGGAATGTAGAGAGAGAGAGAGAGAGACAATAGAACTTGTCCATATCGTGATCAATATGAAAACACCCTAGGAGTGATTCGCAAGTTTGCAAGTTTGAGAAACCCTTTACCCGATCTGACCATTTCTCCCTCTTTTTTTTTTTCTGATACGCAGTCCAGGCCGACCCAGTCCGTCAAGAAGCGCTACGCAAAAAGCTCATGGCCTTTCTCTCAGACACGGGCTTGTCAGACGAATTCGCTCTCACGCCAACGCCTCCCAAACACGGCCGTTCCAACTCTGATCCCACTCATCTTTCTCTCCACTCTTCATCGTCATCATCATCGACGGTGACTGCTACTACGACAACAGCTAATACTCGATCCAAAGTTTCTGATCAAATAATCAATGCGGCAATCAACGGTGCCGTCGCTCTCAAACAGTCTCCTATTCCCGATGCCATTTCAGCTACTGTCAATTACACGATGAAGAAGATCAAAAACATTGACGAGACCTATGGGTTACAGGAGAAGGCATGGGAGATTAGCAGATCGGGGATTAATCTCGCGTTGGAGATAGATCAACAGTATAACGTTCATGAAAAGGTTGGTAATGCATTATTTACGGGATTAGCGGCGGCTATGAAGGCAGGCATTGCATACAAGGATTCGCCTGGATATCAGGAAGTCAAGAGGATGAGAATGGAGTATTGTAACAACAAGGAAAGAATGATCGAGCAGAATGGCATGACAAAAGATCTACATGATTAAAAAGAATAATAGCGGTGGATGTAAAATGTCAATTTGGGGGGAGGGTGTCGGCGGACAAAACAGATGTGAGCGTGGTATTTTTTATAGATGGTAACGAAAAGAGAGAGATAAATATACATCAATTTTAGATCGACGATTCTTTTCAACTATCAATAGACAAACCATTCTCTTTTTGATTTTTGTGGGGCTTGCGATTTCTCGTTTGGTTGCTTATTTGTTGTTGTCTTTTTTTTTTTTTTTGGTTTGTTTTGTTTGTATGTAGTTTTGTAGTTTTGTTCCCGAACACTCTTATTTCTTTTACTATAATGAACAATTTCTCTGAGATTTTCTGTTGGTTTTTTTTATGTGTATTTGTGTCGGAAAAAGAGGAACTTCGCCTTACAAAATGTTTTTAGAATATACAAAATTTTGCTCTTTTTAATCTACAATAATTCTTCTCTGTATATAGATTCGCTGCAAAATGTTCGTTATATAAACTCGAGATATAAAAAAAAATAAATCTAAAATTTTCTTTCGCTATTTGAGATCTTTATTATTTTGGCTTTTGTGAGTTTTTTGTCGTGGAGTTTTGCGTTCTTTATTGCCTGCACCTACGATTGAACGCTAAAGGTGCACAGTTTTTTGTCGTGGAAATGTCAACGTTCTTTGCATCGAAATGCCCACGTGTGTCATTACCAGCCATGGAAAGTTTCTTCTATATTTGGATATTTTTAATCCTACTTGATCTTCATGAAAAAAGGTTTTCAAAATAAGGGGTTTGACCAATCGTAAAATGTTTATGTGCGCAGTGGCCCGCCATCTACCAATCGGTTTCCATGCATAATAAAGTATAAATTAATCGCGATATTGATTGGAAGGGGGGGGAGATTCACTGCTTTTTCCCGATAGTCATTTGGAAAAAAATTTTTTTTTTCTTCCGGAAGAAAACTTCTCATATCCCTTTACACGATCATCGTCTACTTGCCGTATATATCACACATACTATTTCTCTCTGTTGAAAAGGCGCGCAAGATGTAACTATTATACAGTGCACTGCAGCAAACTGTAACCGATTCAAGATTGCTGATGTACATGAATAAGGTTTGAACTGAAAAAAAATTTTTCTTTCTTCATGAGCCCGTCGATATAAACAGAATAAACCGGCAATCAGTATTTTTACACAAACAAGATAAGACGCCCCCCCCCCCCCCCCAATGGCTTTTTACCTTACGTTTTATAAAGAATGGTAGTGTAAAAAAATAAATAACTGGACACCAACTCACATTGCGTGAATTATTAATGTACCGTTGTTCCTGCCTTCTGTAAATACTCATACACTTTGGTGATATTACATCTCAGTTTCACAGTATTAGTATAACAAGGGTTACGGCTATTTATTGTACTGTTTGTTCGCCTGTCACAGAGCGGATTACGATCCATTGATGTAGTAGACTATAACGGACTGCGCCGTTCTGCTGCGTATGCTAAGTAGAATCGACTCGGAAAAAGTATGCGTTTCCTCGCAAACTTGTGTTGATCTTTTTGGCGCTGGTTTCATAGCATTATCATTCGTTACACCTTACAATTAAGTTAGAAGGCTCATAAAACGCACTAGTCAGATAGTACAATTAATTCCATATCTGGGTTTTTTATGATAAACTAAACTTTCTTCCTTTCAAAAATAAATTCTCAATTATACTGAGAACGACTATATAGATTACTTGCAAAGTTTATTATTATAATCGTTTTACAGTCTAAGTTACAAATTAATTCAGTTGCTTGAACTTCATTCATATCGATAATCATAAAATTTTACTAACGTGCTTAAAAAAGAAGACCAGATTGCAGTTTTTACAACATCATTTTACATCTCATTAAAAAGCAGATATTAAATGCATTTAATTATTACATAAGCATTAATTAAAGGGCTGTATACATGTCAAACTGTCAGTGTTCAATAAGTGGCGTTTCATTTATACCGAAATTAATGATATACAAAAATCATTTGTCTACATATTAACATCGTTAATCACATATGCATTCAAAGAGCTTGCTAGCAGCGTATTTATTGCTAAAAGACTTGTTTCTAGAATGAGATTGTAAATGCACCATTACATTATAGTGACGTATTTCTCCAAGAATTTCTGCGCCCAACGTCATCCCCTGCAATTGCAGTAACGCGGACTGTATTTTGGATAACGGGACTTTGGGCGATCCCGGATTAGGATAACTGCTACTTTACTATACATCTTTTAGTTAGGAAAGATATATAAGCGTGGGTAGCTTTGTTAGCCAACGTTATCCTCAACAAGCTTATCTTTATCCTATAATTCGGATTTCGTTTTTGACTCTGAACATTCCTCAACACTTGTACTATAATTAATTGGACAGTAGTCCAACTTTGTGATGTAAACTGCGGATTCCGAAATCACCGGTATATTAATTTTGTCCCGTGATTAGCAAAACACGGATTGTTAACATACGCGCATAGTGATTCGATTACTCGTTGTTGTCTACGGACCATCGGAACTAATCTAGGGTAGGAGACATTGCTATAGCGTATTTGACAGCATTATACAGATCATTTATTTGGGAAATTGTGGAGCCAGGAATAAGGTCACTAAGTATCAGCAATTTTAAGACTCGATTGAAAGTGCTAAATTCAAGGCCGATTACTCACAAGGAAACTAGTAACATGTTTAACCACCGCACTTCTTGTTTTTAACTCTCATTACATATACTTGTTGATGCAATGACCGGTTTGCATAATAATCTTTGGTTTAGTGTGACGCGATAGATAAACCGAATAAAAATGAACTTTTAGTTTTGTAAAGATCAACGAATCAATTTACTCCCATATTAATATGCGTAACTTACAAATTTGTTACTACGTGTAGATTGTGTGAATGCCATAATAATTGAAAAACTTGTCTTGATTGAACATTTTACAACTGTCGGATCAACGTTTCGAACAGAGTAGCGTATGACTGTTGGTTGCAATTGCGAAAGACATGCCATACATGCCATATAGTAAATTGTTCCAAAATAACTGTAATCCGTCATGTACCGAATCAAGCAGACAAAAGCAAAAGCAAGTATTAAATTGTCGAGAACCATATCTTTTGAGCATGGGCCGGAGTTGCTTAATCTATTTATATCTTGTCATTCTCGGCGATAATTTCAATTCATTTATTTGTTAAAATACGCTCGAGGTTATTAAAGCTCATCCTCTTTATCCAAGCAATATCAGTCGACTCATAAAATACGAATTTTTATAAATCTCCAAAACAATTTCGTACAGAATGTTTTGGAAACGACGCGAAAGATCATCTCACGATGGAAAATTTGCCTTACTCCTTGGGGTGGGAGAGGGGAGAACTCAACTGATGGAAAGTGTCACGTTATTTTGAGAGAATGTTGGAAAGGGGGTTTTGAGTAATGGCTTCATCTGACGGCGAAAAACCAATTTCTACGCGTGAAAACACCGAAACCAATGCCGGCTTTTCCGTCGTAAAAGGGAAACGAATCGTATGCACAATCTCCCACTTATCACAAAAGTTCTTGTTATACAGTATGACCAAAAAAATCCCCCCAAAATTAACTTGTTAGCTAAAACGTAGCGATTTTTTTGTCTTTACAGAAGTTGAATGATCCGGCCACTTTGGCTTTTCCCCCATTATCGATTGGTTTGGGTAAAGTTCCAATCGAAGAAGCAATGCCAATCCTCTGCAAGGTGGGCCCCCTGCAGCTGGTTACCAAACCCTTACTATTACTATGACACCGCATAAACAAGCCATCTTGTTGTCATCCATAACAGGTAATCAAAGAATTTATCGACAGCCATAAGGACCAACGTTACTTTCTTGTTCTCGTTGAAGAGGATCACGAGATTTTAGAATACTTTAGACAGGCAAGTGGAAATTTATGGACTTTCAAATCCGAAATGCCTGATGTGGCATAAATGTGTAACTAAACTAACATGGCTTCTTTTTTTTATCTGGGGGGGTTTCTAGCATTGTGAGCTGACTAGAGATGAACGACTACTTCTCAGGAAAGATGTGTTTGATGATCAAGCAATGGAAGATGATCGAAAGTGCAGGTGAGTGGACAGGCGATATTTCGGCCTGCGGCAACTGTTTGAGAATGATCAGGCTGTATTTCATTGCTTGGCAGGTTTATTGCGTGCGAGACTACCTGGAGGCTGAAACCTGGTGAGCAGGGCATGCGTTTTTCGCTTTTCGTCTCTACCATTGGGCATTTATATCTTATTTCTGTATTGACACTTATTCATGCTCACGCCAAAGACGTAACACCTTTCAGCCGAAAGGTGTACAAAGCCGCAGGATCTGACCTTGCTAAGAGAATAAAGGAGGCTTATCCCCAGCCTGGCGCAGTAAGTCAACTTTGAAAAATCTTGGTAATTTATACTTTTTCTTTTTGTTGCTGGTTGAAAAGGGTGCTCACACGATCCAATTTATCGACTCAGCTTGGCGAGGCCTATCCAGTTTCGCTCCCGCCAGAAAGTAATATCCGCAAGAACAAAGGCATCGAACAGATAATCTATGTCGTCGCTCCAAACATGAATCCCGCCCGATCTGATCACCTGCCGCTCGACGAAGCAAAAAAGTCGCTGACGAAATCTTATCAGTCAATGTTGAACGCATTTTGGTCTGTCGCTAATGACAATGACTATTCTCCATCGAATTCACTTGTTACGGAACATAATGAAAAGAAGAGGAAATCATCGGGTATTACGTTTCACCTTTTCTTTGGGAAATAACTCGGTTTCTCTTTCCTCAGACAACTCTATTCATGCTCGAGATTTCTTTCTCAGTCGAAATTCCAGTAGCAGCCGCAAAAAGTTCACAAATACATCAGCCTCGTAACGAAAGATCTTTGTATAGTAACGATTGGTCGAGGGTTCTTTGGGAGTATTGTTCAAACCCCGAAGCATTTCCCTCAGACATAGTATACCATTATGATGACGACGTTGTTATTACATGGGACAAGTTCCCAAAAGCACAAAAGCACTTGTTAGTGATGCCACGTCGGAGGATCGAGTATATCGATGATCTGAAGAAAAGTGATATTGATACAATCGAATTATTGAAAAAGAAGGGACAGTGGGTAATAGACAGGTAAGCCATTTGAAAATAACGGTTCAGATGAGAAATGGAGAGAGCGTTTTTCCCCCTCAGTTGATTTACAACCAATTTTCGCAGGCTCAAGGAAGAAAACGCAAAACTTGATTTTCGTATGGGATTTCACGCCATGCCTAGTATGAGGTAAAGATTTTAATATCGAGGCTTTTGAAGTAGGAGCATACCAGATCGGTGCTTGGAGTAATCCGTAGTTATTTGTTACGACTGTTGACAAACGTTATTATTTCCACGTAGACAACTGCACATGCACGTAATATCTCAAGATTTTAATGCACCCGCTCTCAAAACCAAAAGGCATTGGAACTCGTTCACAACGTTTTTCTTTATTCCAGTTGACAACCTTTTAGATGTGCTCAGAGGGAAAGGCGAAGTTACGGTAATTTTTGTTAGATAATGAGCAGATCACATGTGATATGTTTTTTTCGCTCACATTTCGTGGCGTTCTTTACAGATTGATAATGAATACTATAACCGGCTGCTTAAAGGTCGCTTGAGATGTCATCGATGTGAGAAAGAGTTTAAGACGATGCCCATGCTGAAAGATCATATTCGACTACATTGGGAATAAAAGCTAGTAACTGACTGTTACCATCCACTACGCGAAAAAACGACGAAAAGAAAGTGCCAAGCAAGCAAGCAACTTATTTACTGAGCAGTCCCATCATTTCAACCTTTTTTTGACTATACGTCGTGTCAATGAACCTCTCCGAATCGTGCACAAGCGCGTTCCTAACCTACTAGAATTTTTTTTTGGAGACGAGAGCAAATTTTTAGTCTGTCACATTGTCATACTGTTTACTAGCGTTTATCGCAGGTAAATATCGTTGGCCGCTTTTCAGATTCCTTGATTTCATTGAAACCTATATCAAGCGTTTGATTAGGATTTCTCCAAATTAAAAACATTGTTAATAATGCTGGCTCATTGTTTTCACGTTGAAACGCGAATAAATACATCTTACGCAACTAAGGTAATAAACATTTATTTACTTTGGGTTGGGAAACGAATTTAGTATGTGGGAACACTCATGTTACTAAGGTATAAACTCGCACTCGTATATTCTGCTAAAAGCATTTAAATAAATTAGGTGTTGAACCGTCAATTAAAATCTTTTTTCTGATGTTACAGCGTCCGCTTAATATTAATTTCGATTAGATGTTACTATACTTTGGCCTCCGTAACGATATCCTGATTCCCGAACCAGTTCAAGTATAAATTTAAAAAAGGTGAAGATAAAATAAAAGATGAATTGAAACGGTGGACGCGCGCAAAATGGAACAACCATATACAATTAGAAATGCAATTAATCCGACGCGTCCGTTTTAAGAATTCATTTCTCGTGAATGTGTCTTTTTCACAATTGTAATATAGTAATACGTTTATATTTAATTTTACTACTGATATATAGTATATTAAGTTTACGTGTAACTCGTACGTTACCCGTGAAGAAAGACTACCATTCTTTATGTCTATCTAGTTAGATAATATTAAAATTGACCATAATATGTACATTGCAACTTGGAATAAAGACTTAACAATAGAAGACTGAACGCTTGACTGCCGAATCCTTCTTGTAGCAGTGTCTTTTAAAAGTCGTTAACGTGTAGACCAACGTTGGTATCAATTTAATAGCAAAGAGTCGAAAGCTAGTGTTTGGTGACGCAATCAGCGCAATTTGCCTGTCTGCAACAGTAGGCTGATTGGCCTTTTATCCCGCAGCAACCGATTGGGCACCCAGCGTTATAATGGCAAGTATTGCCAGTACCTGAACATTGCCAAATATCCTTATAACCAATGTCTTGATTAGAAGGGTTTCCGGTGCAATCTGCATTTTGAATGAGTGTGTTAACAATAATGGTACTAAAACGTCTTGAATACCGATCAAAATAATAAAACGATCCACGAAAAGTGTTTAAAAAAAAAGGAATTTTGAAGTTGTCCAAATTGTTTATCATAGGCGTGTCTTAAATAAATAACGCAATATCAATCTAACTTTTAAATTTGTCTGGTATTGAAAGGTATTGTTTCTAATGTATTTTTCTCGTATAGATAAGACCTGCCATGTCTTTTTTGTTTTGACAGATATTTATGTAATTTACGCACTGCATACGCGTGCCTTCTTATACGCTGGTGAAAAATTATATTTTTGATCTGTAAAGTAATCTTTGCTCACTTACTCATCTGAAAGCCACAAACTAAATCAGGACCCGAGAGTGGAGGACATTCGCAGGTAATGTCAGTTGGGCAGCCGCAATTTGGACTTGGCGTGCAACCAGCATGGATAATCGATACAATAAACGTTAAGAAACCCAGTATTAAAATACACGCGTATATGTAGCGGTTCATTTTATCAATAAGAAGTTTGACCGGAAGAGGCGAGAGTGAAAGTAAATGACAAAACTTATCTACAATGAATTAGAATTAGAATAGAAATGAATGCCAGAATGTAGTATTTAATTGAAAACGAAATCTCTCCTTGTTATTACAAATATAGGAATAAATAGAATGGGCAACGATGGCCAAATAAAGTATGATCAATGGACAAAGTTCATTTACTTGGGACATTTTACCGAGGTTGTTCAACAAGAGAAATTCTAACAAACGTTTTGATACTAATCTCCACCTTATTGAACTTATTATTATATCCGAGAATCAGGTTTGTTCTCTCTTTAGTTAAGAAATCCGGTAAAGTCTATTTCTATTGGATCTCATTAGTCATACATGTGTAATCGACTGTCATATACCGCATATACCAGCGTTTTATTGGTTAATTAAAACTTCTCGGCTTTATTGGCACTAGTCAAATTGAGATAGTCTATTTTTTTTTTCATCCCAAGGCCCAGCAACGTGCAACGATGCGTTGGTAATGAAACAGAGCTATTTTACATCATCAAATATCTATCCTTACATCACATCGGACATGTTTTTCAATAAAAGATGACCAATCTATTAAAATTCCCATCGGATTTAGCATATTGCATTGCTACTTTGGTCTAAATAAGAACGTTTTGTTATACAATGTGGTTGAATTTACTCATTTATCTCACACAATTATATTACGTAAGATCATAACACTAATGGGTAAGTTCGAGGTCATATTACTAAGTGATGGTATACACATTATTATTATTATATATCAATAAAGTTCGGTAATAAAACAGTGACATGGTTAATACATGAACTCATGGATTAGGCATTTATAATATAATAAAACTAACCTTTGCGCATCCACCAAAGCCTACCTCGATTCACAGAAATGTTATCAAAAATAGCAAAGTATAAAACTGCACTTTTATAATGACGAGACAGGTTCCATTAATAGAGGACAGTCATAAAGTACGAGATTATACGTAGGCTTGCAAGAGAACAAATATCGGTTTCTTTAATACAGTAATTTATGTTGGTAATATTGCATTTATAAAGTTTGAGAGAAACATCTACTTTTTCAAAATACTTCAATACTATTGGGGGTATCAGGTTTGATGTGCGGTACATCAACTACGCGCGAGAATTTTCCAAGCTGGAGAAATTCCGGGTGTAATAGTAACTGTTTCATTGAGAGATAATTATGCAGGACGAAATAGTGAACAGTTCTTGCTAAAAGGTGGAGAACGAATCACGATGTGTACCCCATGATGTCGTCTTGCCAGTAGAGAACACATGTTCCTTTGTTCTATTTAACATCCTCTTTTACATACTTTGGTTATAGGACAATTCGAATTAAATTTCTTGAAAGCGACTTTCAAAAATGGGAAATTTGTTGAAAAAAAAAATTACATACTAATAGGTTTGCTTGGTACGGTCAACCGTGTTTTCTGGTTCAATGTAGCCGATACGTGAAACAGAAACACTGCCGCAAATTACTTTGTACGACACTGACGTAATAGCTTCTCACACCTTTCATAATCAGATCAGATAACCTTTAATATTTCTTTTGCAGGGCAATAGTTTTAGATAAATAATATTAAATTTTCGGTTTTTTTTGGTTGGCTGGTTTATTGGGAGCAATTCAGGGTCATGCCCATGTATTGGTTGTGATCTACATATTGCATGGATCTATTTCCAATGATCACGAGATTACTGGAAGTCTACTTTATTACGATTACGTGCAATTATTTCTAAGTACATTTTTTTTCGTGATGCACAACAAATAAATATTTTCAATCATATGCACCCTCCAGTAACCTGTCATGTTACATTATGATGATGATGAGGAGGAGGACGGTGACAAAACTTCTGATGGGGACGATGAGGCGGAACCGGCAACAGATTCGTCAGATGATGAAGACTCTTCGCTATCTTTTTCATTCTCATACCGCTCTTGTTCTTCCAATGAAATATCAACTTCACTAGACATTATATCCTTTAGTACTCGATTACTAATTCCTTCCTCTTCATCTTCATCTGCTGTCAAAGCTGGAGATTCCGTTTCATCTTCATCTTCTTCCATCTGCTTAATATAAAATGAAGTAAATATCATTAGACTTTATCTTTAACCACCTTCTCCCTCGGGGAGTAAAAGCTAATCTTTGAAAAGGCTTTTATCGAATTCTAACTCGGTAATGGTTTGACTATGTCATTATGCCAAAGGGATAACATACGCGTGAATAAGACATTAACAAAACGTTGGATTTTTTTTACTAATTCATTGCCATGCATGACCTCCCTCTATTAAATAAAATTGTTGACATATTGCTAATCTATCAAGCCCACAAAGATTGTCGCTTCTCTGTAGTCAATGCATGCTTAGAGAAAATCCGCATCCTCAATTTCATCATCTTCCTCTTCATCCTCTTTGCTTTCATCATTTTCATATTCACCCACCTCATCATCTTCATCTTCATCTTCACTCCCCTCTTCATCTTCTTCATCTTCGACATCTTCATCTTCATCTTCACTTTCCCTATATACATCGACTTCGTCGCTAGTGTCTTCAATGACGCTATGCAGCGAACTTCGTAATGAAATTTGCTGCATTGCTAGATCGAGGCGTCCATAGAAATTTAATAATCTTGGAAATATCGATAAACGTTTGTCCAATACTTGATAGAAAATAGACAATTTTCGTGTTAGATCCGGGACCTACCAATAAAATCACGTGAGTTAGGTAAACATCGATTACTAAAAAGTTCGTAGCCCAATTCATCGTTTCTTAGCTTCATTACGGCATCCACTTACTGTCATTAAATAAGCACTATGAATGGTTAATGTAACTCTAATCCACTCCAATAAATCTAACCCTGTACTCGGATTAGTCTGAAATCTTTCAACAATCTTCTCCAAAAACTGAACAACAAATTGTGAGGGTAGTTTTATCACTGTATTCCGTATTATATCTCGATTATTATGTTCGAGACATAGTTTGAATAGCTCGCTGTCATTGGAGTGCAGTGCTTGAATTAATATGGTTTGCAATGAATCTGCATTAGCCATAACATATTTCTCTTTTGAAGGCGTGTCATTGTCTGACTGTTCAGAATGTGTTCCGTTGGGTAATTTTAGTTTATCGGTCGGTGTTTCATGGACCGTCATACTGAAACTCTGATAAATAGTATGCATGTAATTAACAAGACTGGATTAGACAACATGATCGTTGAATAAAAATATAACAGTTCTAATCATACTAATGACATTACTATAGTAATACTTACGTTGATTCGCCCATTCGGCATCTTTGCTCTTCCTCCATCTCCGCTCACATGTTCACTATTGCGTCGTTTTGCTACATCATCTTTATCTGTTCTTGCATCTTTCTCGATCAATGTAAACTCTGGCCTTTCAGCATTTACATTTTCTAATATCTTCACTCTTGATTCATCATACTGTTTATGAGTTGCTTTCTATTTTGATATAAACTCCAATGTCAATTATCAATATAAGATCCATTCAGCAGCATGTACCCATTTCACAAGTAATTACCAAGTTCATAGCAGCTATACTCGACTCATCCATGGGAATAACGGGTTGATGTAATCTATTTAGTATTACTTCTGGAATAAGACATCTGGTCTGCTTGTCAACAATACGCTTACAGAGGGAAAAGAGTTGTTGTTGCCGTTAACATACAACATAAATAATAAGCAGGCACATCACTAAATACAGTTCATATAGTCTTATACGTACTACTGTCTCAATTATCGGCTTTGTCGGATGTCCTCTGACGATCACTACTTTGCTGGCCATTTTATTGTTAGATTCATCCATAGAACTGGCGGCTAAAATGGGTATTAAACTATTATCTTTTTCGTTCAACACCTTTACGACACAACTAGCAGTCCTGTTCATATTTTTCCTTTTTTTTTTTCTGGGAGGTGTCTCGGCAGACGAATGCGCAGACGATGCAACATTGTCGAATATATTTAATATTCCATCTTCCGATACAGCGAGTACTGTACTAGAAGGCGAGATAGATACGTTATGTATATCTGCATCCAGAGAAAGCACTGTTTAAAATAAGACAGTCGACAGTAAGTAAATGAAAGTATACGACATTGGTATAGTTACTTGTCCGTTCAGCATACTCAACATATTAATCATCTAGTGTTTGCTACATTCTTACCAGACAGACACTCTCCTCCTTCTCTCTCTCCCTTACAATCCCATACATTTATCATTCGATCATTCTCAGCAGCAGATATACATACGTCATCTGATACTGAGAACATGAGATCTGTAATATATTTATCATGTCCAGAGAATGTTCTTATTATTTTTTTTGTTTTCAAATCCCACATTTGAATTTTAGAGCCAGCGGACAAGAGTCTTTTTCCATCATATGACAATGCCAGTCTCCTTGTAGACTTCAGGCCTGATTTCCAGGTGCTGAATAAATTCGTAGAAAATCATCAGCGATAATAGAAAGATCGGAACAAACTAAAATTGAATAAATTGCGCATAAAGCAGATATTGGAATGTCTCTCTTCTCATAGAAATGACTGAATACAAAATAAAACACATACATACAATGCCTATCGATAAAATAATTTATTACTTCAAATGCGTTCATTTACCTAATCTCACGCCCATCTGCAATGTCCCATTCAATTATTGTCAAATCATCACAAGAATATCCGTATTTTCCGCTCGTGTCGAATACGAAATCGTTCACGGCGGTCTTGTGTGATCCTTTCATTCGTTTTATAACTGTTCCTTCGGAGACTGAATACAGCAATATCGATCCATCCTGCAAACCCAGTGAAATGACTTTGGTATGCAATTGAGACAGTGACGAAGACCGCGACTTCTTCCGTGGCGGAGGATCGGTCTGTAAAAATCATACATTACATCAATGAACGACATTATGTGGCCAACATGGACACCCGCCAGTCACTGCAAAAAAAAACACCGATTGCTTGCAAATTACGGCAACTTACTGCATTTCCGTTTACGCTTTTGGGCTGTTGAATTTGGCCCCATGACATACAGGTAAATCGCTCTTGATTCTCAGAAGTATAACTTTTCTTAACGGTATTATTACGTGCGTCGAATATCCGAAGTTGGTTGCTATCTACAGCATGAGTTACAATGGCAAAATATTCCGCGTCTATTGAGTCAAAGCTAGAAAACAACACCTGAGACAGCACTAAACCGCCTGTTGTTTGAGGTGTAGTGTCGATCTTGCGTTTATGCGAATGTTTACCCATTACGTAAAGATGCAAAACGAAAACTATAAAGAAATCGCGGATGAAAAAATTTTCAGGTTTAACGGAAAATTTATGGCACGTGCGCCAGGGAAATTTTTCGTTTCTGCGTCACCATTGAAAACAACTATACGATATATATAAAATAGTAAATGTTGAGAAAACCTACTCACTTGCTTTGGATACCAGATTATCTTTTCTTTCTTTTGTCTTGAACTTTCTTTTTTCATAAAAGGATGAATTGTGTTGATACCAAACTTTAATTGCTGTTTTCTGAGGGTAAATCGAGTTTTAATATATTTTCATGTGGGGAACAGCTAGTCAGCTCCTAAAGTATACAGGCGTTTCTCGTTTGACTGATTATGCAAGCCTGCTACGCTAATTTCGTGATGATTCCGGTTCATCACTGACATTTAGACTTAAAGCATATCCAATGAGATCTGTTATTTTTTCGTACCCCACGTAATTAGCAGTTCAGATCACTGAATATTGGAATAAGGAGACATTGACAGCATTGGCTGAGATGATATTCACCAATCGCTTTGCACACAACATTCTACTCACCATTAATACTTAATCTATAAGTCGGACACTCGATAAGTTGGATTTGATTAACTCGGACAAAATTTTTCCGCTCCTTTTTTTTTTCAAAATTTAATAAGTCGACACATAAAATCGCGATAAACCCGTACCGTATAAATAGAGAAGTCTGACCACGTGATTGTTGAGCGATAATCTAGTGAATACAATACAATTAATTACCGTTAACGCTAATACTAAAAATGATTAATATTACTTGTCTAGAGCGTGATTATCGTAAACAGGCATTTTGCCTGCTTATGAAACGGGTCCGTTTATTTACCCGACAAAAACTACCCAAAAAGGATAACTCTGAAATAATGCTGGTAAATATTTGTCAGTCGGACAAGTGAACGGCTCCCTATTAAATTGTACCAATTAAATTAAATCAATTAATCAAGATTTCGATGCTTTTTATTTTATCATAAATTCGTATTCTCTTTAACTCGTTCGCAACAATAAAAAGACAGAAACAACAAAAGTATAATTAGTAAAAAATCTACAATAAAGCGGGTTACTCTAACAAGCGTCCAAAAAAAATTTTGTGTTAAAAAAGAAGCTTAACTAATTTGACTCAAGCGGAGCTTGCTAAACTGTTTGGGATTAGAGAAAAACAGTTTCTACCATTCTTAAAAGATCATCAGACTGGCTGATTTTAGACAAAAGTTTAACCTCAGCGGAGAGAGAACGCGAACGAACTGCCGCCTATTCAACATTTAATTGACCGATTACCTATTTCGGGCCCTTTAACAGCTAATCAATTGATCCAAATCGACAATGAACTCAATCCTCAAGAAATACCCACTGATCAAGAAATAATTGACATGGTATAAAGCAACTTACAAACCTGACAAGCACGACGAACACGACGAACACGAACCAGATGAGCCTGAGGAACAGACTCCTATGTCAAAAGCAACGGATGTAATTACTAATTACATTAGATTGCAGAACCAGAAGTTTGTCACCACAAGTGAAGAATTAAAAACTTTGTTAAGTATAAAGAAAAAAAACCTTTACGTTCAATTAATGCTAAGCGACAAGGCACCTTATATTCATAGAGAATACTAATAATAAAGAAATTTTCGCTTGATATAATGATGTTTCACGTGACTCAAATATGACCTTCGCTATAACGAAATTTTTCGTTATGATGACTGGACATTTTGGTCCAGCCCGACGGCTTCATCTTATCGAGAGTGACTGTATATCCTTTAGTTGTGTCTAATAAAAAGTTTCTCACGCCTTTGTTTCACATGTGTTGCACATAGAAAGATGAATAATTTCGAAGTTTCGGGAACTGAATGGCATTTCGTATTATGATATAGTCATTATTCTATGCAATTTACGTTCTTACCTAAACTAGGACTGAAGTATATTGTCTCTAATTATACGATGGTTTCTGTATCAAGATGTCATATCTAATTATAATATCATAATCATATAATCATGCATAATAATAACAAGATTATCGTTAGCTTTGTAAACTTTGTATTTTGACAAGTTTTGTAAAGACGATGCTAAATAGCGGAATGATTTTATCAATGAAATAATAGTAACAAAGCTCAGCTGCACCCCCTTCCATTGTAAACTGTACATGAACCATAAACTCTAGAGAGTTATTCAAAAGTATATTTATATTGCATGTAATAAACTAGCGGTGTGCTTATTCATGAGAGGATATAGTAATTCAAATTATATCGGAATTTAAATGGACGAGTTTGAGTAAACATGTAACAATAGTCTCTATTTAGAATAAAAGACGTATGATCAATTATCTCGTTACCGCAGAAAGGTATATTAATATATACAGTCGAACCTCGTTATACCGAATTCTGTTATACCGACGAATTAAGTACAACCCCGCTAAAGTAGAGAAATGTCTATAGCAAACTTAACTCCATTATACCGAATAACCTCGTTATACCGAATTTCTGCCTTATGTTCCCGACCTCTTCGTTATAACGGAGTCGACTGTCGGGGTCGTTACTATGAGTGTCCTGTTCGAGTCGGTCAGCGATTACCCTAATTGAGCACTATTCGTAAATTTAAACATTAGAAATTAAGCGGTTTCGAAACCCCCGAATGAACAATCAATTCAAGAGCATGAACGATGGAATCAACAATCGATTCGAGAAAATCAACGATCAACTCGAGATCGATTCGACGACCGATTTAAAAATTGTATGGCCTGACGTACGATATACAGCAAATGTTATAAAAAAGACTTCGGGACACGTTAGAAAATGTTTCGGAGAAATAGTTTAGTCTCCCTTACATCTAATATTTTTAATAAAGTATGGCACTTTGAAAGACCACTTAATATCAACAGCTGTTTTGTTACTTCTCTGAGTATTTGCGCCGCATGCTCTCTAGAAATATACATTCAAACTAATAATATTCTGAATAACATTTGACTTGTATGTTTATTTTGTAATAAGTGCATTACAGTCGAACCCCGTTATACCGAAGGCACGGGGGAGTCATATATGATTCGTTATAACGAGGAATTCGGTAAAACAAA